CCTGCAGTAACTCTGTCCTGGCAGCTAAAGCCCCGAACAGTTCCCCATGCAGCTGTGACAGGTGGAGGGGGAATGGTTGTCACCATCGCTCAGCCGCTTTTGAGTCCTGTACCCCTATGCTGACATATTCATACCTATTTACATTACCAAACCCAACTGTCACCGTTTGTTACAGCATTGTTGTCCTTTGGCAGGTGTTCGAAACAAAAACAAGCTAAGGCAGTGCTGGGCAGAGGCTGTGTGCACCGCGGACCGCACCAGGTGGCAGTGCAGCCCCACAAATGAGCGCAGGCTCTGACCCTTTGAGTCACGTTTTCGTGCACTATTTGAGACACTGACCTATATGGCTCCCTCGCTTCCCACTAATGGCATTCAATTCTGGCTAGAAAAAGCAGCCTGAACTTTTTCTTTGCCCTGCTGCTCCTGTGACTTTCAGGTTCCCCTAAGGAATTACTACTGCCCTGCTGCTCCTGTCACTTTCAGGTTCCCCTAAGGAATTACTAAATTATCTCCTCCTGCTAGAAATAAAAACTCATACATCATCAAGAGCCAGTTTTCATGTGACTATTACTGTCAGTATTAAAAAAGGCTGTGACCATACTTTCTTGGGTAAATATATGGCAAGGGAAACCAGTGACACGCTCATTTCTGATCCAAGAAGCTGCTGAAATGCTCCATAAGTAAGTGAGTGGAGAGATATGCCAGGCCCCAAGAAAACAGATTGTTTAAGCTAATATTGGAAGTACAGAAGAAGCATTCTAATCTAGCATTAGTACTGTAGGAATACACAGTTGTTAGTTTTATTCCTGTGGCAGTCTGTTAGTATGCAGCATCCAGTGCTCCATGAATTGCATTCAGTCAGAATGTGGAAGTCATTTGTCTGACAGTTATCCTATCTCCACCATCTGTATAGCATATAGTATGCATTATGTCCTAAATGTTTACAGCAGCATTACAGCATTTCAGTGATAAGGGTTTACAGTGCACTTTAGATTAATAAGAGATATTGAATCTTAAAATTAGGCATATATACGTGCATGTGTATATACCCAGGAGTTCCCCTGCTTCAGCCTCAGGGGTGCTGCAGTCCTGCCATGGCGTCATCCGGCTTCATACCAGGAGGAAGAAGAGGAGGGATTCGTTCTGCCTGAGCCTCCTCCCTTTTCATCACTGGTAGCATCCAGCAGCTCAGGTGTCAGCACTGTTGCTGAGGATGGCAGGAGGCTCAGGGTGTCTCCCCTGAATTCAGCCCCCAGTGCCTGACAGCATCTGAGTGCTAAGGTGCTAATTAACACAAAACCTCCGTTAATAACATCCTACCCTGCTCCAGCTAGAGCCCCACACACACCTCAAAGAGAGGCTTCGCTGTCCCTCCAGCATCTCGAATGCAGATATGGCCTCCCCATATTCTGCAGCAGCAGAGCAGGTCCTTGCTCCTCTGTGGTCTGTGGGTCCTCATGTGGCTGCTCCCTTCCCACCAGCTTACCTACCCCAGCCACACTGACACCACAACAATGGTCTCCAGTGTTAGAGCCAGGCAGCAGACACTCCATCCCAGCCCCACCAGGATTATTCCATCCCATCCTCCCCCACATGAGGCCCACCCAGGCCAGGCAGGGTGACCAGCAGACCTCTTCAGCCAAAGCAGCCAAGAAAGGCTTCCAGTCTGCCTGCCCATGTCTCAGCTGTCTTGGTGGTTTGCATTCCCCCCCTCATCTTCAGGCCCTTCGCCACCCACCCTAGGCAACTACGAGTGTGGACTACACAGTCACACTCCCTCCAGTCTTTGGCGCTCAGTCCCTCTTCTGGCACTAGTCTGGAGTGAGCCAGTAGAAGGCAGACACTGACACACTGGAGCAGGGACAAGGACTAGGATGTAGGGAGAGCATCCTTCCCAGCAAGGGCTTCATGTACTTAGAAAGGACTATGGCCTGGGACATTCAGACCCTGATGGGGACACAAACAACAGGGGGCCTGCAGTCCTGGTAGAAGACGAGGAGGATGGATCTCCTGAGGACCCTGCTCATGTCCAGAGCTGTGCAGCTGTGGGTCTTTTCTTCCCCAGCGGGCAACCCTTGGATCCAGCCTCACTGGGCTGTAACTGGCAGCTTTCCAGTCTCCAGTCACTCCTGACCTATGGGGCACTCTGCCTGTGGCTACCCCAAAGCCAAAGCACCCCCATAGCTTCCCTCCACATGCACCCTGGGGCCCTGGGATCTCCTCCATGGGCACCCCTGGTGGGGCTGGTGGTCAAGGTTTCCCCCTTCGTCCTCCTTACCTGCCAGATCCATGCAGGCAGGCCCCAGGTGGGCTCAGACCAATTTCCCTGCAGCATGTTATAAAGAGCACAGCAGGTTCTTAACATCTTTATTAGTATGTTGGTTTATTTCCAACACAGTAAATCCTCTCTACAGCAACAGGTTAGTTAAATCCGGTTTACATATTGCTGTCTCGTGAGCGCTGCGGCCTTGATGCCGCTGTGACAAAACCAGGCTGCACTCAGACAGGAAAATGCATTAAATTCCGCTGTGACTGGGAAAAAAAGGAAAACCAACAAAAATCAAAAGAACAAACCACCAGGGAAAAACAAACCAACCAACCAACAAAACCAAGGTGAGGAACTGAAGGCGAGCACGGCCACACCACCTCCAGGGAAACCACACGGCACCGCTTGGACAAGAATGCAAGGAGGAGTGAACCCAAAAAGGTCAGGGACCGGGCAAACCCTTATATATATATTATGTATAGGCATTTACACATATATATCATCTGGAGGGACACGCTGAGAAAACAAGAAATCGTAGCAGTATCTACCATAAAAAGGAGCTACGTAGCTTTCAGAGTCACACCAAGAAGGAAGCACACAGCAGAACAAAGTGGGGGAGAAACGGGGACACTGGTGTTTTGGGGTGGCCTTTCAATATGGGAGGGGTCAGGTGGGGCACGGGTCTCAGGGCCAAAAGCCCTCATACACCCGCTGGGAGCCCCAGGACCTCTGTGCCCTTCACTGGGGAGCAGGGACGGGGTCTGGGGAGTGAATGCTTTTGGGGGAGCTGGGTGGGACCTGCTTCCAGCGGGCTGGTTCTGCTCATCCAGATGGTGACACTCAGTGGCTCCTCTACAGGTCCC